TGCTCGGAGGTGGTTCTGTGGATGGATATCGTTGGCGAACGGAGAGGGTAAACTAACTTTGGGTCAGTATTTTCGTACCATTCTTGGCAAAACATGACACGGGACAAATCTTGTTCAAACGATCAACCGTATCATCATGCCAAAACGGTTTTCTTAACTCCTTTGAATCAGTCGAAACAGTGGAATTGGGAACCATCCTTCTCTTATTCAATCTCTTCTTCGTTGGTTGCTGTTTGTGATAGAGTTGCCTTTTTCTTAACCGTCGAACCTTATTTTTCAGCGACTGAAATGTTCGGTGTGTAAAGTAATCTCGGTAAATTTGTTCCAAATTCATTCCCTTCCGCAAGGATGTCACAATTAAATCCTCTTCCGACTGTGAATAAGGTTCTCCTGGAGTCGTTGATACATTGGACTTGTTCGATGATGGTTGTGCTTGTCTTAACGGTAAGGGTTTGGATGGACTTAATTGACCAAGTTTCATAATCATTTTGTGGTAATGGTCAGAATTTGTCCATGTTTCTGGAAAAGTTATCGATACAGTAGAGGTAAAGGTGTTACTATCAGTGATTTCTGAAAAGGTTAAATCATCGACACTCCATTGAATGATAAAATTTGTTGCATCTGAAACGTCATACGCTCCTTCCATTCTGGCACGATTAATCTTTCTTTTCAATTTCTTGTACTTTTTCTTTAATGAGTTGATGGATCTATCAAAAAAGAAAGTACCAATCTTACTCCATTCCATATTGAATTGTTTTAAAAATAACAACATGCAATGTTCTTGGGTTGCGTATGCTTTTCCTTGATCGAGAGAGAGAGGTTCAATATTAATTCCACGCTCCAAATAAGCAGTCCTTAATAAGTCTCCAAATTTATCAACAGTAGAAACGTCTTTCAATACTTCCAATCTCTGCCAATGAGAAGCAATCTTCTTCTTTTTCTTTGCTCTTTCTTCCTCACACTTATAATGATCACTCAAAATGTGTTCACATGGCGAAAATTTAATTTGCGCCATTGGTATGTATGGAGGGATAGAAAAACCACTAAAACCACCAACGCCTTTCAATTTACGCCATTTATCAATACGTTCCATCATGGAACGTTTTTGATAAGGATGCTTGTATATCATTTGTGGTTGCTCCTTTATCACCAAGACTCTCTTTGAGTTTTGAAAGGTTTTTTCACTTTCTCTGGTAGGATTGGGTGCTTTGAGGGGGTTGATATTGGTAACCGATGACTTGTCAACATGTTCCAACTTGGGTGATTCTTGGTCCTTTGTTGATGTTTGTTCTGAAATTCTTGGAGGAAATGGTGGAATGATTGGATATAATTGAGGAGAGAAGGGATTTAGAGGGATCCATGGCGAAGGGAATTCAGGTTGAAAAGAGAGATTTGGGGAGAAAATGGCGGGATTTGGAGGGAAAATTGGTTGAGAGGATGGATTTTGTTGAGTGAAAAGATTGGGATTTGGTGGGAATATAGGTTGAAGGAATGGATGATGGGAGGAGGTGAAACGAGGGTTGTTTAAAATTATTCTCCTCACGACTCTGGTTGTTCATGATGAATTATTTTTTTTAAAAATCCTTAATAATAATAAATATTTTCTATCGTTCGGGTAGGGTGGTGATGATAATGAACAACAGCAAGCCTTCCGAACCAATGATGCCCTTTTGAGAGATTCAATACTAACCAATGATGCCATTTCCTAGGACTCATCAGACTCTTCATCAGAAGAAGTATCACTATATTCATCACCCACCCGCTCGTAATCGTGATCCGTTCCATACTTCTGCCCCTCACGGCTCGTTATTGAGTAGTCCTTTATTTTCAAGTTTCATCGGTTGTTGTTGTTGTTGCTGCCATTTATTAGTCCCTTATTATCATGTTTCATCCAAATATTGTTGTTCTCACGAGTTGCAAATGTTCTGCATGTACTATTTGTATTTTGCCAAAAATCGTTATGCAATTCCGGGCAGATCTGCCTAAAGCTTTACAAGGCATACACTCTCTCGGTTGGAATTGAGGCAAGAGTTGTTGTGCAATAAAGTACATAAACAAAAGCACTCAAATGATGCATCAAGAAACGTTGACCCTCGCCAACTCGCCAACAAACTCGCTGGAGTATTTTGGCTCGGGTTAAACCACTGTGTGTCACTTTTAATTTCGTAAAGTGCTGAGCCCGACGTTACAAAAAAAATGAAATCTTCAAAAATGATTAGAAAATCTGTTACCTCTGCCTCCAGAAGCATTTCAACAAATTCATCATGTCTGGCACACACAACAACAACTTCCGGAGCCAAGTTGCACTACTCGACAAGTACGATGCATGATCGTCATGGCACAACCAAGAATTGTTTATTTTCATCATCCTCTCGCTCCATGATGATGATGAACGTAAATTCTTCTCATGCCTCTGCGTTGCTTGTTCGTGGCTTATCAAGAACACAACCCATCTCTTCATCTTACCATACCAATCAATCTGTAACAAGAGAAGAAGTCAAGAAACCACTCTTTGATAAGATTCTCATCGCCAACAGAGGTGAAATTGCCTGCAGAGTGATTAAAACAGCTAAAAAGCTCGGTATTCAAACGGTTGCAGTGTATAGTGAAGCCGATGCCAATTCCATGCATGTAGCAATGGCTGATGAAGCCTACTTGTTAGGTCCACCTGAATCTAGCCGATCCTATCTATTGGGTGAGAAGATTATTGAAATTGCCAAGAAGAGTGGAGCTCAAGCCATTCATCCAGGTTATGGTTTCCTCTCTGAAAACGCCAATTTTGCTAGCCTTTGTGCAAAGAATAGAATTGTGTTTATTGGACCACCTGAAGGAGCAATCATTGCGATGGGCTCAAAGAGTGAAAGTAAGAAAATTATGGAAAAGGCCAAGGTTCCAGTCGTTCCGGGCTATCATGGTGATGAACAGGGAGAAGAGAAATTGTTAGAAGAGGCAAAGAAGATTGGCTTTCCAGTTTTGATTAAAGCAGTGATGGGAGGAGGAGGAAAGGGAATGAAATTGGCCAAGAGTGAAAAGGAATTCAAAGAAGCTTTGTCTTCGGCAAAACGTGAATCGAAAGCATCCTTTGGTGATGACCGGGTATTGATTGAGAAATATATTCAAACTCCTCGTCACATTGAAATTCAAGTTTTTGCAGATACTCTCGGAAATTGTGTCTATCTCTTTGAAAGAGATTGCTCTGTTCAGAGAAGACATCAAAAGATTATTGAAGAAGCACCTGCACCAGGATTGGACGATGCTGTCAGAAAGGCCATGGGTGAAAGTGCTGTAGATGCCGCTCGTGCTGTCGGCTATGTTGGTGCTGGTACTGTTGAATTTATCATGGACAATGATGACCAGAAATATTACTTTATGGAAATGAATACACGACTTCAAGTTGAGCACCCTGTGACTGAAATGATTACAGGACAAGATTTAGTCGAATGGCAAATTGAAGTTGCATCAGGCAATAGATTACCTTTACTCCAGAAAGATTTGAAGAGACGAGGTCACTCATTTGAAGCTCGTATTTATGCTGAAAACCCAGAAAACAATTTCTTGCCTGGAACTGGTACATTACGTTATTTGAGTCCTCCTGAGGAAGTTGAGGGTGAAGTTAGAGTTGAAACTGGAGTGAGACAAGGCGATGAGGTTTCTATTTATTATGACCCAATGATTGCAAAACTTGTGGTTTGGGGAGAAAATAGAGAATTGGCTCTCCGTAAATTGGTTTCATGCTTGAACAGATATCATATTTCTGGATTGACAACAAACATTGAATTTTTGAAGAGATTGGCTACCAATCAAAGATTTAGAAATGTTGAATTGGAGACTCACTTTATTCAAAAGTATTACAATGAGCTTTTCCCAGAAAAGACGATTGATGATTCCATCTTCTTGTTGGCTACTCTCTCCTTAATTGTTAGAAATGACCGTCACACAACTCGATCAAGCGATCCATTTGATCTTCTCAAAGGTCTGAGATTCAATCATAACCATGATGAGAACTTTGAGTTCCACCATCCATACAATAAGGATCAAGTGGTTTCAGTGAGTGTTGAACACTTGTGGGATCCAACCTCAACAACTAAGTTTGTCATGAAAATTGGAAACAATACTCATGTTGTGAGTGGAGCCTACGATGCCACAACAAAGGAAATTGTTGCATTTGTTGATGATAGAAAGTTCCACAGTACTCTTGCATTCAGTAATGACCAAAAGACCATTTACATTTTCACCAGAGATGGTCAACGATATGAAATTGTCCCAGTTTTGGCTGCATTTGAACAAAAGGGAGGAGCTCACATGGGATCCTTAAAGAGTCCAATGCCTGGAAAAGTCACAGCTGTTATGGCCAAGGAAGGCGACAAGATTGTCAAGGGAGATACTATCCTCGTCATGGAGGCCATGAAGATGGAACACAAGATTGTTGCACCAAAAGATGGTGTTATTAAGAGTTTACCTTATAGTGTTGGAGATTTGGTTCAAGGTGAAGCTGTTTTGGCTGTTTTGGAGTAACATTTCAGAGTGGTGTTTCATGAGCACAATATTTATTTCACTCAATAAAACCACCTATTTATTCAAAGACTTGACACATCAAAGCCTCAAACTCAAGACATGTGTGGTCTGTATGAATGGAGCGTTTAGTGACACGTTGGATATCCACTATTTTTAAAAATCAGCTACGACAAGTGGTCATACTCCAATATTTATGCCTCAAGAAAAAACAAGCCAGAGATCTTCAAAAATCCAAAATAATCTTTAATTTGTGATTATTAACAGTAAGGTGAAATAAATAACTCTTACCACATACCTCATGTGAATAATAATTTGTTAACAATAATGAATTATACCTACCTAGATTGAATTGTTTTGAGCTTGTGTAAAAAACAAAAATTGAGTCTCGTTAAAAACGCTCTTCTACCTATCGTCATAGTTTCTCTTGTAACCTCGATCTCTTCGATGATCATCGCCACCTCTGTCATAGCCCCTACGAAATCCACCTCCACCTCTTCCTCCTCTGAAGCCACCTCTTCCACCTCTACGAAATCCAGAGTCATGGGGACGTTCTTCTTGTTTTTCTTCAACAACTGGTGGAAGTGGCTCTCTAGAATTACCTAAACCTCCTCCTAATCGTCTCGGTTTCCAATCTTTTACAGTTCTGCCACGCTCCACATCAACCATTACTCTCCACTGATCAATTTCCATTCCATCACCTCGATTATAGGCATCTCTCATGTCTTCATGCTTTTCAAATTCAATAAAGGCATAACCTCGGGATTTGCCAGTGCTGGAATCTCTCACTACTCGCACTGCTTTGATTGGACCAAATTTACTGAACGCATTTCTGAGTGTTTCCTCTGTAGTTTCATAATTCATCTTGGCAATAAATAAAGTATTGAAAGGTTCCGAAGTTGCTTTTGTATCATTGTTCGGATCCCAACTCTGCAAGGCTTTTCTCAATTCCTTCTCTGCTTTTTCAGCGTTTTCTCTTTTTATTCTCTCTTTTCGTTTTCTTCTTGATTCAGGCATTTCATATTTTGTGGTCCGAATCTTTTGTCCTTCGGCATCATATTGTACTTCTTCTTGTTCAAATTTATCAACACAACCAGAAATTCCGGTTAATTCCGAGTGCTTTGATCGCTTCCTTCTCCTTTCATCAATAGCAGGAAGTTGGATCAGTGGAGGTCCCGGAGCAAATAATGCTTGAATCTGTGGAGGTAATTTATTCGGTACATTGCGATACTTCTTAGAGGTGCTTGTGTGCGACATTTTTTGTTTTGAAAAAATTTAAAAAATTGAACGTGAATGATCTCAAGGACCCTTTACTATGAGCTAACAATTACAACTGCTCACGAACATCATTGATGTGTTTAGAAGAGAATTTTCAATATGAGTTGTTCGACATTTTCAATTTTAAAACGTGACATTTCAGTGGGAAGTGTGCCAAGAAATTGCTTGACGCTTTCACTCGGAGTCTCTTTGGTTAATATGGATATCAATTGATCGTAATACTTGTATGATGGAATAATGTTAAGCTGAAGCATGATTTGGTGTGTGTCCAGAATGGCATCATATTCGCGAACCATACCCAATGCCTCTATTAAGGTTTCATAGG